TGAGCTGAAACGCCTATGAGGTGACTCCCAGGTTCGCGGTGCAGAAGAATCTTTCCTGCGGGAAAAAATCTAGACTTCTCCATCGGTAGAGCATCTGGGGCCGGTTAGGCAAATTCTTCATAAGGGCAAAATCTCCGACCCTGCTAAAATTGCCGGGTAATTCAAGCCGCGCAGTCTCTCTCTTTCCCAAATGTGGACTGGCTTCTCTCTAGTTCAAGGGTTTCAGGTTCTGCTCTATATGAAAGTTAGTTTTCACTCATCCGGATAAACCTAGGATGTTTCAAATCCCAGTTAAGCTATATTGTTTAACTCTGATACACATTCCTGGAATAACGCGCCACTCAGAGTATGTACAAAAGGACGTACGTCAAAGTCTGAACACATTTGAGTTACATTTGAAGACACAGAGTAAATTAATTTGTATCGAATACCGCTCAAGTGAATATAATCTGTGTAGTAAAGGTTCGCTTCAGGTAATCTTGTCTGAGCATGTCAGACTTCAAACTGTGCCCAATTCTCAGGTAGGTTCTGTTACAAAGACACACCAAGTATTCCGTCGCAACTTGGGGTTGTTTTGTCCATCGTGAACCAATAAAACAGTTTCAGTGCATTACAGAATTAGTGTTCAGCACTATGCCATAGATGTTCTCCACGTGACTACGTAATAAGATGATGACTAGACTTAATTCAGTGGTCTTGAGGTTGCTGAAACTTCCTCGACAGTCCTCGACTGGTTTCGCTCTTCTTGCTGTGGCCCATTAGGTTCGGTGAAGTCCTCGAGTTTCCGTAAATCTTACGTTCCACCTGAACCCAAATTGCCTCGAATCCGACTCATACGCTCATAGGTATCCCAGTTTGGTTTTGACGGAAGAATCGAGCTGAATCACGATGATCTTAGTCAACTGGATGTGCTGTCTCACGTTTCTGTTGGTACCATATATGACAAATCGCAACTAATTGTATAGACGTAATGCACTACTCATAGTGAATAATAGTATGAAAATGGCTAACAAGCTGACGAGGTAATAAATGCAAAAGCAGACTGACCTCACGAGGATGGTTACTATTGAACATTTAATAATTCTAACGATTGAAGTAGGCGATTAAAGTGGTAAGCGGATACCTGGTTCATATTTTCTCAGCTCACCAAATTTCATTGTCCACTAGAGCAATCATACCTCTGGCGGAAAAAGTC